CCCCAAAACCCCAAAACCCCAAAACCCCAAAACCCCTACGTACAAACCCTTAGTTGAATTAGTCGTCAAAGTCATAAACAGGGACCTCGTGACTGCAGACGGGACACTGGGGATTTGTCTCTTGGATCATCTTGAATAAGCAGTTTGGGTGGTAAGTGTGTGAGCAGGGGGTTTCGATGTACACGCCTTCTCCGAAGTTAAGGAATTTGTATGTTTCAGATACGTCGTGGTATTCTAACTCTGGATAGTCGAGAGGGTTTGTGCATATTTGACAGAATTGGCCACATTCTTGGTCATTAAAATGAGTGAGTTTCTTCATGTACTTATCATATAAGTTTCTTCTCAGAAATGTTGGTAAGAAGAATCTTGTTCCATATTTGGCTTGTGTCTGAATCACAAGAATTCCTCAGAGATGTACGAATAAAAGGGCAAAAGCATATGAATAGCTATAAGTTGGAAAATACTCTGAAGATCTGGCAAAAGGAACTCCAGAGAAAGATATAGTTATAGAAATTAATATTGAGTGTCCTACGTTAATGGCATATCTCTTCCTAATAAGAAAGTTGAATAACACCAAAAACCACCACAGGTTAGTTAAAAGACTGGCTTCCTTAAGTGAAAAGAATATATAGCTTGCTGCCAATGGAAAAATTACAATTATCACAATCAGTAGGACAAATACTCATGTAAGGAGAATTCAACAGAAGTTCCTGATTATTTGTTTCAAAACACCTCTATCATTGCAAAAAGTATACCCAATATTAGCTGAGATGTAGAACCCCCAGTTGCCAATCAGGAAATTTGGGACATAGATAACCTCTCCAAGATATTGATAGGATGCAGCTATCGTATACATCACAAGCACGATTGTCACTTGGACAAAGGTGAATGTAATCAGCTTGTGAAGCCTCTCTTTCATTGAAGTATTAATTATATCTACAAAATAATCAACAATCTTACTAAAATTCCTGCATTCGTAATTCTGATTTATTCCCATTATCCAGAAGACAATAAGAACAACCATACACAGTGGGATGGATATCAACTTATTCGGAGTTGGCTTTGCTGCTTCAAGTTTAAAGATCATTGAAAATATCTTATCTTTCTCCTTCTGAGGCTTTCAATCATCTTTAGAACATTCATGTAGTTTAGATTTTTCCTCTTTAGAATCATGAGTTGAGTTACTTTGGTATGGATTAATATTGAAAGTTTGCTCTAGTCCTTCTGATAGAGAATAACTAACCTCAGACATAACTCTTTGCAATTTTTTATCTGATCAAAAGTCAAATTCGACATTCTCAACATCTACAAGAAACAGTGATTAATATGAATTTCTGGATTATAAATATTTAAGCCACGATAGCACCAATATGTCCTATCATCACTCAGTCTTATGAATATGCAGTGAAACTATGTGGTTTTAAACTGTGTAATTTAGCAGCTTTCTACTGGATGACAACAGAAATGATTGGTGCCATGATAGTTCAAAAGTTGCAAATTAGCTAAAATGGTAAACAAGCTCTATTTTTTGTGTAAAAGGTTTAAAACACATACCATTATTTTGAAACCAATACTTGAAGGGAAAGCTCTGATGGATCTTTGATTTTGGAAGCTTGATTATTCCATAATAGCTTACAGAACTTGCATCTAAATGTTTTGAAACATTATAAAATATTCAAAAATTCTCAACAGAAATTGTCACGCTTAAATATTGAATTAAATTATACCTTCATTACTTGTTGTTGCATTCGGAATTCCATAGAAGACAATATACACGTTGGATGCCAAATCAAAACATCCAGAAGTTGTGCAATTTGGACTGATTTTATACCCATACAAATATGATCCATCTAGTTCTATATTTTCTTCATTTTCCCTATATTCTTCATTACTAACATTTCTGATAAACTAACAAAAAGTACCATCATAAAAATAAAGATAGCATTAAAAATATCTCAAATTTTAAATATCAGACACAAGCTATTCGTGAAAGATATTTATATAACAAGATATCTAAAACTGAGGCTAATAAGTGCAGAGAGACTTACTCTTGTCCGCTCTCTTTTCCTTTGTCCTTGATTTTTTTAGCTCCTTGCCATCCAGTAACTAATTTCCCATTTTCTTTATGAAAATCTTTAATTTTACCATCTCTACAATATTATCAACTACAAGATCTCACTCTGAATCTTTATACTTCCAATACCTAATAAAACGGAAGTCAACTCCAAGAGTTTCATCCTCAGAAATCTCAATAAGCTGAGCATCTTGAACTTCACCTAATTTCTTTTCATCCTCAAAGTAAAGGTCAAGTAATTCCTTGTCTCACCCAATTTCAGGCTTCACCAGTTCCTCTAGTTGAGTGTCATCTTGGCAATATGCCAGAGAAGCCAGGAGGAGCACCAATACAAATTTGTTAACCATATTTAGATTTAATATTATAATTCAATGCTAAATTTATCCTCCGGGGTTTTGGGGTTTTGGGGTTTTGGGGTTTTGGGG